CATCTGTAAAACGAGGGTGGAAATGCCTCAGGCTTTGCAGTGCTTTCGTGAAGATTCAAGTGAAGTCGCTCATGTCCTAACCCTGGTTACAGCTGAGGCCTAGCAAAGCAGCGATGCATGAGGCTTTCCCTTTCGGGCGGCTCGGTCCGACTCACTCAGCACCAAACGTCCGTCTCCAAACACGCTCGGCATCCGCTAGTGTGTCGGGCGCTGCAGACCTGACAGTGCTCATATCTCTGCAGTTTTACAAAATCCAACCGGAAGAGCCAAGCAGACCCGGCAACCGTGAACGCCGTCAGGTGCTCCTCCTCCTGGAGGGTGTGCGCACATGCTCGGAGGACCGGGACCAACTCTGAAGTAGCTTCGGGGGAGGGCAGAGCTCACGCGGCCGAGCCAGGCTTGGCGAGCACGAGGTCCTGGGTGCCATCCCCAGCACCTCCTCTAAGAATAAGCAAATAAATAGCCTAATTACCTCTCTGCCCTCAAGGGGAAAAAAACTGAAGTAGCTTCATATCCCACTGTTCTTAGGTAATTTTTTATACTGAAATATGTGATTTTTTAAAAAAAAAATTCTTGGGTTTTTCAATCATCATCATTGTTCTCTTAGCAAAAGAGGCACTTTCCACTCAAAAGAAAAAAAGTCGCAGGGATTCTTATGTGTTTACGTGCTCCGAGTAGCGAATAAGGAACATGGGGAAAACCCTCACTGCTAGGTAAGCTCTGGTGAAGGGCGGTGCTGGACTGCGACCCGGGCTCTCAAGCCCTCGTCCCGCGGGACGCCAGTTGCCTTCTCTGCCCTGGCTGGCTCTTGGCTACAGGGCTCCCCAGACGCCCAGTGGACCATTCCTTGTGCCTGGTCCTAATTCATTTCAACACACTGAGAAATTGGGTTCAGTGTTCTACCTCAAAACTAGACATGCCAGCTCAGAATCATTACGAGGCAGGAAGAAGCGAAATGCCACTCAAGGAAGGAGGCCGAGCTTGCCGGTCTCTTTGCCCTGAAGATCCACGTTACATGTGCGGTGACTCCAGTAGTTTCCCGGTGGGTCGGGAAATTCTTTGCAGAAGGTTTTCCCGTCCACTCCTAGATCCGTGTCATTTCATTTGAAAGTGCATCAACCTCTTCACCCACAGTCGCCCTGAAAGTCACACTTCCTGTGTTCTTTGTCGTCAGACAGTGGGTTTTATCAGTGATAAAAAATGGAGGCACCTACATCCTCGGTGAAGGAAAGAGGAAAACTCAGCGTTTCTGTGCATTTCAGTGTAGAAAGCACCTGGTCCTGGAGAGACAGGTCACCTGGGACCTTCAACTCCTGGTGCTCCTCCTGCGCCTCTGCCGCCTGTTGACCCTAAGGGAAGGCTCGGTTCTAATGCACCGAGCGGCAGAGCCACGTCCAGCCCAGCCTGGCTCCCCCCGCGAAAGGATTTTCCGGGATTACCCGCAAGATTCCCTTGCAAACTAGCTGAACATAACAAAGTTCCACGATGGATACAAGGCGGACCCTTCTTCCAGGCTGGTGTCTGCGCTCTGCCCCCCGGGCGGGGACGGAAGCCTCCGGGTGCTCCCCTCAGCCGTGGCCAGGTGAGAGCCACTCTGTCAGACGGCCCGTCCAGGCCCACCTGGAACAAGCTCTGTAAAGGGCAGGCCCTGCCGTATCCTGAGTCACCCCTGCTGAGGTTCTTAACCAGGGTCTGCAACCAAAAATAATGAATTTTTTAAAGTGTCACCGAACAGATTTACTTACAAGCAAGAATGACTATCAGCGAGGTGAGCTGTGTGCACAGCACAGCCCACGAGCTGAGAGCGGGCCTCCATCTTCAAGGGGCTGAGAAAGTCAAAAGAGCATTTCATGATGTGAAGACTAGATGAAGTTCAAAGGTCCGAGTCTGTGAGTAAAGTTTTCAATTTCATCAGTAAAAATGTGTGACTAAGGACCTGCAGGGGGGCCTCGATGTGGTGCCTTGTCCCACGAAGACGAAGACGCTTTCTCTGACCCTTGGTGGACTGTCCGCCCAGCCCTGTTCTGAGATGTCCCACCGCCACCCAAGGAGGCTGCCGCCCCCAGCGCAGTCACCACGGAAACACGGTGGCGGCTGCGCTCCATCCCTGGGGAGCCGGGGGCCTGGGCTCCGCACCGATCCCGTCCTCCTGGGCGGGCCTGGTCCCGGGCCTGCTCCGTGAGGGGGGCCGTCTGGGCAGGATTTGTTTTTCTTCGCGAGCGATGAGGTAGCCCGAGGGGGAGGGCAGGGCTGGGTGTGGGCGAGGGACTTGAGCAGCAGCCACACTGACACAGGCTGAGCAGCTGTCTTTGTTCCCTGGGTGACCCCTCCCATCCCCTGCACTGGGCAGAATGACTAGCAACGTCCTGGGGCCACGTTCCTTCAGCGGAATGCGGTGTTGTCATAAAGTCTAAGCTTGGTGCTCTGCTCCGTTTTGTCATATTTTTTCCAGTTGTCAGGAGAAAAAAATAAATTCTTCCACCTTGAGTTTTTCTCCTGTAACTTGTCCCATAAATTCTTGGCCCATGCTGTCACCTTCCATCAGAGCGTCCCCCCCGAAAGTGGAGGCCCCTCAGCGGGTGAAGGGGGACACCCCACCCTCCGCAGGAGACCCCGGGTGCACGCCTCCCTGGGCAGAGCCGGAGGAGATCAGGCCAGCTGTGGTGCCGGAATTCAATCCAAGGGGCCGGAAAACAGGCTCAGCTGAGCCTCAGGTCCTGGGACCTGGCGGGAACGGAAGCACGTCTTCCCCGAGAGGACAGGTCTCAGCCCCTCCCTCAGACAGAGTTCAAAGACACACAAGTTCACGGTCAAAAATCACTGAGCCCACGAGGAAACAGCACACCAGCGACATTGGGCAACCAAGGACAGAGCCAGACCCAGAGAGACAACGTCAAGTTGAAGGAGAAAGGATTTTTAAGGCATTTTTTTAGAGACATGAAAGGTGGAGAACGAACCTATGGAAGAAAACATGACTGTCACAGCCGACAGGTTGGATCTTTTCAAGAGTCAAATAAAACGTCTCCGATGAAATGTGCGACCGACGTCAGCAATCCAGGGCGCAGTGTGAGCGGCAGGCGAGCCATGTGAGGACGACAGCCAGCTCGGGGTCACGGCTGCAGCTACGTCGGGGAGCTCGGGGTCACGGCTGCAGCTACGTCGGGGACCACTTAGGGTGAAGTCGTCAGTCACAGAAAGATGAACAGACTCAGCTGTGTTAAACCAAGAACCCCTGCTTATCAAAATACAACACTGGCGGGGCGGGGGCATGGCTCAGCGGTAGAGCCCTGCCTAGTGTGCACGAGGCCTGGGTTCAACCCCCAGATCCATAATTAAAATAAAGAATAAATTAATTAACAAATAAATAAACGTAATTAACTCCCCCAACAAAAAAACAAATTTAAAAAGATACAATTTTTTGAAAATACAGTATTGGGACAGAAAAAAGAAAAACCAGCTTCAGGCCAGAAGTTATTTACAACCCTGAACACAGGCTTGGCCACCAGCCCAGATAAAGTGCTGTGAAGGCACCGGGGCAGGGACAGACCCTGGGATAGAGACAGACAGTCCTTCAAGAGGTGGGCAAAGCAGGAGCGTTTTGCAGACGAGGGACACGGACGTCCGCTTTATCACTGGACAGAAGCTTCATCTCATGATTAACCCGGGAAACACAGTCAAAACCACAATAAAATAATATTTCACATGCAGTAAAACTGCACGAAGTGACTGCTGGTGAGGACCCGGGACAGCAGAAAGAACCCCCACCCGAGACGTGGGCACACGGCTCCTCTCCCGGGCTCACCCCCCAGAAAACCTCCTGCCTGGTCTCCGGCCTGGAACCGCAGCTCCTGGAAGGCCTTGCTCCCGAGGACCCGGCCACGGCCCAGAAACCTGCACTTTGAACCAGTCTCCTGGCTGGGCCACCTGCAGCCAACATTGAGGGTCTGCGTGACCAGAATCTGGGGACCTCCAACCTAGAAAATGTGGCCAGAGCTGAGGATCGTGTCTGCCCAGCCTCGGAACCTTCCTTCCCTCCCTTCCCGTCAGGAACCCAGCAAGATTACTGATCCTCTGCCCCGGGCAGACTCTTCTCCAGGAAAGGGGTGTCCACAGATAAGGGCCCCAGTGATAGAGCCCGGCCTGGAAGGACGCTGAGACCAGGCACAGGAGGCAGCTGAGCTGGCCCCCAGGAGGAAGCCCCAGAGTCCGGGCAGGCAGAGCTCAGTGCCACCCTGTCCCGGAGCCCCTCCCTAGGGATGGAGCCCCCCACCCAGCCGGGCTCTCAGCACCAACGTCTACACTCCCAGGTAAGGAGGCCTCTGTCCACCCCACGCGAGAGGACCCGGGCCCAGTCTCTTGGCCCCTGCAGCCCAGGTGGGTCAGACCCCGCATCACTTCTTCTCTGCTGGAGGGGCTGCCAGGCTCTCTGTACCCCAGCCCGTCCTGACTGGGGGTCGTCGTCTCCTGGGCGGCTTGTCGCTCAGGTTGGCTTTGAAGCACCCCTGACTGGGCGGCTGATGAACGTCACAGTTTAAAAGGTGCTTCTGCCGCTCAGGGCTCCACCCTGCGCCCGCCTGGGCCTGCACCTGGAGCAGACGGCCAGCCGCTCCCACGCTCCCCGCTCCGAGAGCCCTGCCGCCCCCGCCTCGTTCTCACGCTGCCCCCTGCTCTGTAATCCGTGGAGACTCCGAGAAGAGCCAGGAC